TAATGTAATTTTCAGATTTGCTGTGTTTAAGACAGCAGAAAAGATGCAACTAGGAGTTGTTCTTTCTGTGTCTTTCACTACATGGTCTGTAGTTAGCTTTTTCTTTCCAATGGTTTGCCCACCACTTTTAAAGTCAAATGTTAATTACCAACTGCTGCTCAGCTGGCGTTCCCACATCTGATCAAAGGTGCTTTTTTTTTTTTTTTTTAATGAAATGTTTAATTTTATGAAAGAAGAAAGACCTGCTAGAGCCATACAAGCAGCCTGAACCTTTACTAGTCATGGAAACAACAAACAGGCAAACCATTTATGCTTGCAGATCTCTCTGAAGTGATGGGTGGCAGCTAGCTAAATACCTACATTCTTTTGTTCTGACCATCTGCATCAATGCAGCTATTTATTCCTGTTTGTATCTGTGCCAGAGATATATACTGCAGTTGCATCCTGCTGCCTGATCTGCATTGCTGTATATTTGGCAAAAATACCCAGCATATATCATGAAGGATGCAGAGAGGGACAGAACAGTAATAAACCTTGGATATCCAGCTGTACCTCTGGGTGGGCACAGGAAAGAATAGAAAATCTCACCTCTCCTGCTATAGAACCAGTGATTAAATAAAAATTGATATAGAAAAAAAGCCCTTCTGGGGATAGATTATTCTATACCTGAACAGAGCAATCTTTCTCATAAAAAAAATGGAGGTGAATTTGGGTTTTCCCTCAGAAACAACTGGATGTGGACATCATGGGAGACAGGACCCTGGATTGTAGGATCACTTGTGCCTGCTGCAGAGCATCAGGGGTCCCACAGGTCTGTGCCTGTACAGAAACAGAGAATCATTGTACAGCAAAACTCCAGAGGCTCAACACTCACATTGGCTGCCCAGAAAAGCATCCTGCTACATGATAATTACATTACAGTGATTTATATGCCCTGGCACCTGAAAGTTGTCAGAGCTTGGGGAAAGGACTTTTTCACTTTACCTAATGAAAAGAGCACATTCTTCCTAATTAATAGTGAAGCCACTGCTTCTAATAAGTACTATTGCAGGCATTTCTTCTACAACTCCAGGGTGAATCTCTGTTTTTTCAAGTTACCTGCATTATGAGCAAGGGAGAGGACAGACTGCAGCTGCAGTTCTGAGCAGTGCTGAGCTCTTGCTTCCAACATGTGCAATACCCCAGGTGCTCTGGAAGTTGCCTTCTGGCTGATAACCTGCTAGAGCTGCCCAGATACCAGTGATGGAGCTGGGGAATAACAGTGAGGCCATCAGATTGCTGATGGGTTTATGCAGGGCTCTGCCATGGCAAGATACTCTATTTGTACACGCTGTTCTCCAGGGCATCTCCAACTATGACTTGAATGTCACAAACACTACAAATGTAGTCATGTTTGGCAAGAAAACATGAGGGCTTGAACCCTCCACCACAATATTCCAGAACTGGATGTGCAAACAGGGTAGGCAAGTGAAATCACAGCAGTGATTGCAGGTGAGTGGTTTCAAAAAGAACTTGTCTGTTTATCATTTCTAGTGCACAAGAGCTCTCACAGAGACCATTCTCTAACCATTTTCTGTCTCTTATCACTTTAGAAGAGTGGGGGTAAATTTGTGTTTTTAAAATTGCACCAAAAATGAGTGGATTACATTAAGGAGTGAAGTACTGTGTTGTGTTCTCTGCTAGTCCTAAACTGACTAAAAGCCTATTTAAGCTGTCAGGCTCCTAAGACAGGCTGAAGGTCACAGCAAAAGAATCAGGAGTTTTTAAGAAAAGAGTTGCTGTACAAAGAATTTTTTTTTCCTGAGTGTTTTTGTGAGAGGGGCATCCTTGTTGATTGGAATTCCTGTGCTAAAAAAGTAATGCTCAAAATATGCCAAGAATTGTGGCAGTGACAAAAGTAGTGTAAAAACACCATTAGGCATTGAAAGCCTGGAAATTCTGTTTTTGAAAGGAAGTGTGGTGGAAACTGGAAAAAGCTTTACAGGAAAGTGTGGTTGCTATGCTGGTATGCTGTCCTGCCTGGAAGAAGAAATTATCTCAAAGCAAACACCCAGAGAGCATTACAGACAGGAAGAAACAAATGAAAAAACATCTAAACTACTTTTCATAGAAGCATTGATTTGAAGCAGAGAAAGCTTCATTTCCATAGGCAGAGCAAGGCTGCAGAGAGCAGTGTTACCCTTCTTTGCTTCCATATTAGTTCATTGGACAGGTCGGTGACATCTGGCCTGTGTGCCCTGACCCTACTGGTGATAAACGAGTTTAATCTCTGGCATGTGACACCAGTGTTTGCGATTCCTGCAGGTTAATTGATTTCTTTTGGCAAAGCACATTTCCAAGTCCTGTCGCCTGAGCAGCACGACTGACTGCAGAGAGAAAATACGGCATCTTGAAGAAGAAATTCCCCCATATCCAGTGAATAATAGGTAGGATATGAGAGAGGATTGGCCAGGCAGAGAGCTATCCTTGCCAAAGGTGTGCAGTGCCAAGTACAGATGGCCTGTCAGATAGGTGGGAGCTGGACGTTGGGTTTAAATCCAGCACGGAGCTGTAGGCTGCTAATAGCAAAGCACCCAGTTGTCTTTTCTCTCCCAGGAAAGCATGCAGCTAATAACAAATCCTCCCCCATAAATTCTTCCAAGGAGACCAGTGAACCTCTCAGCAGTGGCAGACAGGACCCAGTTGACAGCACAGATCCCACTGCACATGGCACGGGCAGAAGCCTCACTCAGCAGTTGCCAGCCCTTATAAAGATACTGCCTCACTGTTCAGCAATGTGTCAAACTTGAGTGAAGCTGCACTCTCCAGGAATCTGATGGTAAGATGACAGAATATTTTTAACATGGGAGTGGGCATATCTAGAAAGAGTGCAGCAGAGAGAAATCATTTTGTTAGCTGTTATTTATGACAACTGTTGTCCCTCTGTATCTGAGACAGTTTGCTATAGCACGTGTAGGATCAGTGAATGTGTAATACAAGTTCATAAATGAACGTGAATCAAATCAGGCAACTGAAAGATGCAGAAAGTGGAGCAAAAACAAGTCTGAAGCCTAACTAGGTAAGTTTCTTCACTCAGTGGACCAGTGACTGGTGGGAAAGCTGGTATGATTTTGACATAACCAAATCTGCTCAGGCTGTCTACAGCAATAGACAAAAGTGAACACATCTGTGTAGGAAAAAAGGAGAACAGTGAGACATGATCTCTCTGCCACTTACTATTTTATCAACGAATTGAACTTTTGGCTCCCTGCTGCTGCAAAAAAAAGTCACCTTGAGCACCTAGAAACTTCTGTTCATCTTGCCATGTCCCCAAGGGATCGTTAATAAACTTGCATATACAGCTCATTTCTGCCACTACAGGAGAGGAGCTGGAAGGCAGCCAGAGAGCTGCCATCCTCCTGGCTCTGCAGGCATGGGAGGCCTTCAGGAACTCAAACAGGTTTCATGTTTTCTCCAGAAAATCTGCTGTACCATCTACCTCTTCTTTCTCATAAAGCAGATCTTCCTAACCTCTAACATCTAGCTTCAGTTACTGCAGCTTAAAGCCTTTATTTGCAGATGATAGCAAACCAGTCATCCACAAAGCCTCACTGAAGTTCAACTGAGCAAGACTTAACCTCCTTACCAGATACACAGGTGATGTTTTGTTCTCTGCAGCATGTTTTAACACTTCACTACAGGTGAAATAGATACTTATGGTCACCAGGAAGTGGAAAACTTTCCTTTTTCTGGTATTTGTATGTGTTAGTAAGAGGAAGACAGAACTGCTCTTAGAGGGACACAAACACTATTGATGACACTGCTTCCAAATCTCCTGCACTCAATGGATATGACAGTGCGAGCCAGAGAATAACACCCAAACTGTTTATACACTTATGTCAACTCCAAACACCTTACTTTCCTTGTAGCTGTATCATATCTAGTGACAGTGACTTGCCAGAGCCACTTAGTTCAACATAGAGCAAAGCATATCCTGCTCTCTTTGTCTGCAGAACTGCCATAGGCTGCTAACATATCCACATTATGATCTTCTGCCCCACATGTCTACATCTGTGTCATCAATCCAATACAACCTGTGTAGCAAGATTTACACAGGCAAACTCAGTCACACAAAGTTCACTCCGATGTGGATGCAGCACTGACTTCTCGAGAGCACATCTAAGCTGTTTTTCTTGAATCAATGCAAATGCCTCTCAACCACGTCACAAGAACCTCTTCCTCCTCCCAGCGGAAGCAAGGCAAAGGCAACTTCCAGTCAACACCAAACCAGTCACCTGCCCCATATTCAGCATGATGTTATACACAGATACTCTACTGTTCAACAATTATGAGAAAGAGACTAACCCAGCAGTGTGTGTATCATGTGGAAGCGTCTTCCGAATTACTGTAGTTGCCAACCGTGAGGTGGTCCGAATCGGTTTCATTACTGAAAAACAGTAGCTTTTTTTAAAAAGCTGCAATAAGGGACTGGGAAATACTATCAGCACAGCGAGCCTTGAGCACTTACGTCCCCACATACACAGCTTTCTTCCTTCTGTGCTTGTCCGGTGTATTGGAGGTAGTGAGCATGGTACGAGGGTCTGAGATGGGACCGTGTGTTAAAATTGACCACCAAGCTCTGTGAGGTATCTACTGCTCTTCACCTAGCAGTCTACAGGTGCCAGCACACAGCAACCCCTCACCACAGATGGCCTGGTCTGTGCATGCTCACGCAAGGGTAAAAGGGATCAGTGATCTCAAGTACTGTGCTCCCCTCCAGGCCATAAGGCCAGTAACTGAGATCCACCAGAGCAGAAGCATGTAAAGGATGCCCAGCCAGCTTGACACAAGCCCCTGTGCTTCGTGCAGCCTCATGCACTTTGCTGAGCTGAGGTTCTTTGCATACAACCCAACATCCTTTACCTGGAGGGACCAAGGCCCAAGGAAAGAGTACAAGCATAATGTTCAAGAAAGAATACAGGCTTTGGTACCTCCCCATTTGCAATTGCCAGGTTACTCACTGTTGTTCAGCTTTGGCTCGGTCACTGAGGAAGAATAGGGCTGTGGCCAGGAAAAACATCCCTCCTAGGACAACGACAAATGGGCAGAGCATGAGTGCATACCCCAAGCTGAGGAACTCCCAGAGCGGGGACTCCTTTGTGCTTTGTCGTATCAGATCTGAGATCTGCAAGAGAAGTGCAAAAAAAAATTAGTCACTTAGATGAAAACAGACATTATAATGTTGAGGGAACACAGCTCCAACAACCACCACCTACTAAACATATGCACACAGTTTAAAATGGAAGACTTTGTTCAGAAGAGGCTGAGTGTCCTCTATGCTTTAGCCTTCCACACGCCATCATTCTGCACTCTGGAGCCTGGGCAACTCACACTGTGAGCAGCACGGCAGGGGTTCTTCTCACCCTGTCACTCTCTGCCTGAGCTGTTAGTCTTCCCACACCCCCCTCCATCTTCTCCCTGCCTACCTCAGTGACTGAACCAGTGGGTGTCCAACCTTGCTGTACTGAGCAGGCCTCCTGGTGTGCTGATGCTGCCTCACCAGCATTGCTTGCTCACTGAGGTAGTGATCAATCTTCTGCAATTTCTCTGAAGTCTCACTTACTCCTACATCTTTACCTGCCTTTCAGCAAAAGGAGGTATTGAACTCCTTTCCTTTGTGTTGAGTGGGATGGTGGAAATGTCTTTCATGGAACAAAACCCACGGGTCGCATTTGCTTTTCAGAGGCAGACCTTGCATGTAGTTTTATCTGAGGCACGGGCCTCATTCCCTCATCTACTCTCACAAACTTTCTGCTCTCTGCCCCCAGGCTTAGACCAGGCCTGGTACACGAGGTCCAAACAACCACACACCACTGAGTTCATGGGATGAGGCAACCTGTATCTTCTGACAGTAAAAAAGCATAATTATCTGAAAGTGAACACGAGTGTGCACTGACACAAAGGAGAAGCGGCATGCAGTGGCAGTGTTTAATTCATTATGAAAAGCTTTTGCTACAACTCAGTATTATTTAATGAGTGTCTGTAGCTAAAACAATCACATTTTAATATTTCCTGTCCAGCAAAAAACTTGCCACTCTATAAATCAACAGCAGTAGCAGCTCTCAAGGCATTATGTATTTAAATGTCCAGTTCTGCTCCTTTTGTTGAGACAGAAATACTTCTTTACACCAAAAGACTGCAGGGAATTTGCACTATAAAATCCTACTGCTGTGCACACACACAAATCAATTCCAGAAATAGTCCAGGCTTGACCAGCCAGCATCTCCTAAACAGCCACACTATTGCTAATGAAAAGGGTGGCACAAACTACAAGCAAAATCCAACATTGAGAGCTTACATCTAAAGAAACAACTAAATGAAGTGAGAAAATGTCACACCCAGGAGAAATCACCTGTTCACAGCCCTGCACCGCAGCCAATTGCATTGACCTGGCAGGTAAATGTGTTCAGAGATGCCTTACAGATGCTAAGATCAACAGAAGGTCACAGAAGGATGGAGGCACTTTGGAGCACTGACAGCCTCGGAGTTTTAATAACCTTCTCACTGCTCAGCCTGGCTCCTGATAAGAGCTAAGGAAAGGAGAAGCAACCAGCCTGATGCAGGAGGTGAAGCTGCTCCGCACACAAAAGAGTAGAGGACTGTTACGAAGGGGCAATGTCAAGCAGTGATGAGTGAATAAGCACCAGAAGAGCGTTTCTAAGGAAATGATTTTTTGGCCAGATTTCACTGCTTCATTCCCTGCTCTATAAAGTTGGAGGAGAAAATTTCAGTGCATGGGATATAGGCTAAGGAAGTGTTCCTGACCACTCAAAGAGAACTTAATTCACAGTATATAACACACACGAGGAAAAACAAGAGCATTATCACCAAGTCTCAAGTGGGAACCAATGGATAAACAAGTCCTTTGATTGAAAAGCAAACAACAGTGGCTGTAAGTCTGAGAGACTTATTAAACATAGCAGAAAGTCTTGAACATGAACAGAACACACCCATAGGAAATCAACAGAACATGCACTGCACTCATAAGACAGGGAGCTCAGTTGGTAATTTATTCCCTCTTGTATTCAGAGACCTTGGTTGCCAACGTTTCCCTTATGCTTCATTATGAGCCACAGTTCCACATTGAATCAAGCCCCTCTGTGTACAACAGCCAGAACTGAGGCTATTCTACAATAGAATTGAGAAATTTCATTATTGGAAATGGATACATTTATCCTCCAAAAGGACCAGACAATAAATCACTCAACAAATTGACATGATAAATCACCAACAGATGATGAAAAGCTAGGCATGGATGATGTGACATTCCGGGCTAAAAAGCAGCTTTGAAAATGTAAAGACTCCAATAAATAAAGCTCCCAACACACCTTGCTCTGCTCTGTTCTTCCTAAAGCACCATACTGACCTTTTGTACCAAGAGACCTCGTTAACACTGAATCTGCTGCCTTTGTCACTTTTAACCCTCCATGCTCTGTAAGTGTGCACTGTAGGATCAGCAGTGTTTCCCCCTATCTGAGATACAATTCCACCCATCAAGCCACATGGCTTTCTCATCCAGGTTCTGTATAACCCCCACACCCATCTCTTAATTCTGGAATTTTTATCAGGGCTCAGATATTGTTTTTGCTGTTAACTTACAGTCACTGTTCTGTGTTGTTTTGCTCTACTCAGCTACAAGCCACCTGCTCAGACTGGAACTTTGACATCTCTTCTCTGAAGGACACAGGACATAATTACAGACTTGTGCTCCAAGAATGACATACTGTTTGCCAAATGATCTACACTGCCTTGCCAATTTTTGGCTTTCAGATTCCTTGAAATGATAGCACTGAGTTGGCAAGACCCAATCTCTCATTGTATTCAGTGTCTTCCCTCTATCACAAGTAACAAAATTGGGTGATGCATGCATGCAAGTCAGTGCCAGTTCTTCAGCACAGAGTCATGTATGGGATTCTTTTTTTGCTTTGTCACTTGTTAACTGGCAAAAGAAAAAAAACTTAAAAAACCTTTATCTGAAACCTGGGGGTAGAAAATCAGTGAGTCCTGCTGCTGCTTTGCAAGTTCTGCAAGTATTTGATATCATCCTAAGCATGAAACTTCCCATCAACACACTAACTGTTTTTTCCCTCACAACACAGACCTGAGATCAAGAGGAATGACTTAGCTAAATAACTTCAGCTGACGGCATTTGATCACCCAGCACAAACGACATGTGTTCAGTGGGCGGCAGTCCCTGGCTGCAGTCCATCAGAGGAAATGCCCACTTCCCAGAGAACAGCAGTTCGGCTCCAGCAGGCTGATCCAGCACAACCCAAACCTCTGACTGTGTCTCAGTCTGAGTGCAGAAGACAGTGAAGGAAAAGCTGAAACTTCGTTGCGTTTCTCTGAAGCCTACAGAAATACAGCTTGCTCCTATGATACTCTACCACCAGACAGCACGAGCAGCTCAGTTACAGATGCCCTTACTATACAATGTGATGGTAGCATCTTTGAAATCATTTCAGCTGCCTTGTCTTATTTGCTGAACAGTACATCTCAATTTCTCTGCAATTGCTTGATTTTTCTAAATTTCTGATTTCACTCCTTGGGCACCAGTCTTGCTACATGAAAGGATATTTCCTCTGCAGTGTCTGATTTTTACTATTACCAGTTTGGTACAGGCCAGGTTCTCTCTGGTTCACCTCTTCAGCACATTTTCTTACCACAGCATTCCTGGTAACCTCACAGATTTTGGGGCTCACCCTTTCTGAATTCAGAGATGCATGTGAAAGGTTTCTCTGATCACTTTTTAAAATCAAAATATAACAGGAAAATGAAGACTGGAAAAAAAAACTAAGGGATTTTATAAAGAAAAAGTAAATAATTTTCTGGGCCTGTAGGGGAGAAAAAGCATTCATGTACTGTGCTAAATAATGTGAGAGACACGTTGTGAAAAAGGAAGTAAAGCAAACCATTTTGATACTAGCTCTGAAAACTGTAGAAAGATAAAAGCAATTACGTTCTGAAAGTAATTTCAATTTTAACATTGGCATGTCTGGATGATGGAGATTAAAAAGGCAGAACATCCTGTTAATCTTAATTGTGTCCTTCTGGGATCACAACCAGATTTGCTGTGGGGATGGTGACAGCCTGTATCCCATGGTACCTGGGACTGCATGACCCATAACAAGAATTCCTGGACTGCTCATCTGTTTACTTGCATTCCTTCTAAGATTAACAGAGTGCTTCCTTGAACGGGCCACAGAAAGTTAGAACACTCAGTCAAAGGTTCCACTTTTTAAGCTAACAAATGGACTTGGTATGTCTGTTGGTACTAGAGCAGCACTTGCCTCCAGACTTTTGCCCTGAACAACAGGAGAGGTTCAAAACTCTATTTTCTTCATGTCCTATCTCTTCAGGTCCAGTCTGCACTGGGATTTTGTCAGGGAACACTGGACTTTCTTCCCTCCCAGCAGGAGATGCCTTGTACAATGGACATGGAATCAAGAAACATGGCAAAGAACTGAAATGTGCAGCGCTGGGTGATGCCCACTTACCTGTAGAAATCAGGTCTGTGGCAGAGGACAGCAATGTGAGAGCAAAGCTTTTAGCAGCTGAGAGGGGCACAGGCCCCTCATGTGGCTGGACGTCCCAGGAGGGGAAGTCATGAAGCAGATGAGCTTCTAATGGGTCACAGCGTGGGGTTGTGCTGCTGCACTGTCCATGCATGAGCTCTGTGCCAGCAGCAAGTGGGCACAGCCAGTGTGGCTGTCCAGACCTGTGCATGGTGCTGCTACTGCCTCAGGAGGGTGAACACTAATCCAAAAGTGTTTTATAAGCACAGTCCCAACCGCAGTGGTACTTAGCTAGGATTGGGATGATTTACACTGCTATTGCTCATTCCTTGTGCAAATAGGGCACAAGGCACCTCTTAATGCTTTCCTGTGAGGATCAGCTGCTCTCTGCACACTAATTTCCTTGCAGAATGGATATCCATCACCATCTTCCCTGCTGCTCACTGCAACAACATAATGCTTGTGAATCAGCAGCAAGAAGCACTTGCACAAAGCAGACATCTCATTCTGAAACATGCCCAGCACCATGAAAACTGTGTGTCCATGTTGGGAGTTTACAAGGTCCTTGGTAACTTGAGAAAGAACCAGGTGGGAAAGATTTTTACCACAC